GCTCTTCCCGAAGCTTTCCCCCGCTCTGCAGCTGTGCCAGTTCAAGTTCTGGCGTGAGTCAGTAGATGAAGCTGTGCTTTACAGGAGAAGGGCCAAGTTTCCCAATTATTTTGCCATCTTTATTTTTCCCCATCCCCAAGTTACAGAAGCGCATCTGCAGCAGCCTAGTAGCCAGCCCTTTTCAGAGCCTGAAATGACGAGGAGACTTAAACCCAAATGACCGGGACTTGTAACTTGGGGGCCTGCTTATAAAATCTATTTGCTTATAAGAATTGCTCTGTGTTTAAATAGCAATATATGAATGAAGATTTCAAAGGTGAATAAGCAGAACTGTCCATTTTGAAACAGGGGTGAATCGTAGGACTTCCACTCTTTCAGAAATAGTTTGATTTACTGCATGTACCTGTTTATTGGCATTCAGTGTCGTATACCTGAGATACATCATCTATAGGTTTGAGTCAAGCAAACGACAAGGGAGTGGAAGCTGGAATGGGACTGTGAATTAGTGGTCAATCTGTGCAAAAACATCACGAATAGCATTAATCGGATACAAGGCTGCTTAAGCGATAAGATGCTTCAGACCACTATATGTGCATCTACCTACACACCTATTGCGATAGATGTAGTTTTGACCCAAAGCACCGTGGCCTGCAATAACCACGCAGAGGAGAGTCAAGGACAACCAGGCTGGGAATGCCAAAACCAGATCCGAGCCCTGTGGCAGCTCTGGTCAATCAGAGACTGGATGGATAGAGAAGTATTTCTCTAAACTAACCTGCTGCTTTTAGTTTTAGATCTGCTACTGATGTACGCACATTTCTTACTCTTAAAGCAATGAAGAAGAGTGCTTGCATTTCCATATGCTAGCTCGTATATGGGCCCCTTAGTTCTTCCTTCTGCTTCTCCTCCAAGAGTGCTGGATCCAGTTTGAAACAGTGCTTGTGTATCAAGGTCTCTTTTATGAGCTCTACAGAAGTATTTATTTCATTTTCCTTCCTTTAATAAAGGTCCAACACGCAGTTGAATTTCAGAGTTTGGTAAAATGTGCCTTTCTTTCAGATGAGTTAAGTTCTCATCTTCGCTAATCAAATACTTGGGCCTCAGTGCGTGCTAAATATAACATATTTCATTATTAAACTAATTCAGATTGAATCTGTGACTGCAGTAGATTCATAAAGCAAGACTTAAAATGCGTGCTACATCTTGCATGTGCTTTATTTTGCTTATAATCCTGAGAACCTGTTAGAAGAAAACATGGGGTTTAAAACCGAGCTCTTCTAGTTGAAAAATAAATATGAAAATAAGTATGAGAAATACGCCAGGCCCCCGGTGTGAGTGAAGCTACACCACGTGGTTTCCATACAGAAAGTGATACTATTACTGCTGTTACGGCTGTCGCGTATTTCCCACACAGTCCTTGCGGCTTAGCAGGCTGGCTGCTTATGGGCGATCCCGAAGCTGTTTCCATTAAGGCTTTTTGGGGGATAGAGAGGGTCTTGGGGGCTGGGTATGGCCGGTTCTGTGAGCACTAGTGTTCAGCCAGTGAGACAACAGAAAGCAAGGATTGGTTTCAAACACTTCCTGATGTAATTGTGCTTTGAAAAAACTCAGGGGTGCTAAATTGAGAGAAAATGGTAGGGTCCATTTTAGGTCTGAAGAAGAGCAACTCGGACTCAGGAGTGGTTGTGAAAGTGTTACGTGAGTCGCAGCATGGAAATATCTCTGCCTCCAGGTACAAAAATTGAACACCCTTTCCAAAAATGAACGCTCAGCTCCTATTTCTGTTGGGATAATTGCATTCTTCTAACCTAAAATTCACTCGGCGCCTCGAGCTGTCACCTTTCCTTCCCACTCTGCTTTCCTGTTTCATTGCAGTGTGGTGACAGATAACTGCAATTTTCTTCCTACATGCGGTTGCAGTTAATTGTGCAAAATGATTAAAATGTTTACGAAGGCTGCGGAGGTTTTCTGAAGCCGCCAAGTAACTTCTAGTTTTGATAGAAGTTTCAGGAAATAAGTGAGATTCCAGTTGGGTATCGCAGAGGATTTCTCTGCCGGAGGCATGGAAAACCCAGCGGCTGTGTTGAGCCAGCGAGCGTTGCTGAAACTCCTGGGGTTGGTGCCTGCACTGCACTTCGGCATCCCTCAGGGGCAGGAGGAGAACTATATTTTAGAAACCCATAGTCAGCTGCAGGTTTGTGATGATATTAAGCTGGTTCTGGTAGTGCTTAGCTGTGATTAAGCTGTTCTCTGCCAGCCCTGGGAAGCTTTGCTGCTTGAAATCCTGCAGCTGTTATCTCTTTACAGCTAGACCTTGTTTTATACAAATTTATATAATTTTTGTGTAATTTTATATCATTTTATACTGGGGACTTGAAAATGGAAATAACAATAGGATTGTGAGGATTGTGTTGTGTATGCTTATATTTCTTATGATATGGCCCAATATTATTTCCTTATATTATTTGGCAGTTCTTGGAGTAAATATACTAGAGGTCATCAGGTAGTATGGTGACAGAAACCATATAAATATAGCTAAATCACCCCTCCCTCTTATAAACAAACAAACAAACAAAAAAGATAAGGGCGCCCTCAGCAATCTATGAGCCACAAATCAGCAGAATTTTATCTGTGCCATTTTTCCATGACCATGTTTTTAATATGAATAGCTTTGAGTCAGGATTGAGATGCCAGTTTTTAAACTGTGCGTGTATATTGTGAGATATGCTTTCTTACTGTAAACAACTTAGCTGAAAACATAAATATTTATTACCAAGACACTGCTTGTAGCAGGATACTGCAGCCCTAAGCAGGTATAGTCAGTTGAGCAGAGAGGAAATCGAAACAAGCTGCTTAATTTTGGCAGAGGCTTGTTTCCAAGTTAGTTCTGGGAAAAATATCAGCGGCTGGCTTGGGTTGCAGCGGAAAGAAAAGCAGATGTGAGAGCTCCCCACTTGACATCAAATATTTGCATCTTTTCCCATAGGAAGGTGATTGGGAATTGCTCATACGTGCTTAAGCCCAGCAGCTTCTTGTCACCAAGTGATGTCTTTTGACGTTCTGTATACAGCAGGTTTCTGGCACCGCCGTGCAGTGGGCAGCGCGTGCTGGCTGCGTTCGCTGCGGCTTCGCGTGGGAGGTGATGGCTGGGAAAGGAGACAAGGAGGGATGGAGAGGGCTGAAGAGGGGAGAAGAAGGGAATCTCGTGGTAGCCATCAGCCGTCCTTACTACATGTTCAGTTTGGATGTTGGTTGTGCATGACTCATACATAGCTGGTATGAATTAATCCTCTTGTTTTAGCATCTCTGTTTTATAATATCAGAAAACACCTTGGAAACCTTCCTAGGACACAGAAGCCATCATGTGTTGAGTAAAGACGCCTAAGAAACTTGGGTATAACCAGCATGAAGGCCTGCATAGTGCTGCTGCCTTGTCAGTTGTGGCAGGATGCTGGGTTAGGAAGCACCTGGCCATGGACCAACCCACAGCATCTGCATGAATCTGTCAAAATGAAGATTTGCTGCACTAAAAAAGTCTTATTTCCCTCTGATGCTCTCTGATGCACCTTACCATGCTGGAGGGTGCTCAAAGGTGGGAAAGCGGAGCCTTGCCCTATACCCTACACACCGCGGGGTTAATGTCCCCATTGACCACTGTGGGCTTTGCCAGTGGTGACAATCCTTGCTTACCCTGCTCAATTTCCACCTAATTTCTGGGAAGGCTTTTCTCCTCAATTTTTTTGGTTTAGTTCCCGTCCCCCCAGTTGGCTGCCAGTGGGATTTGAGGTGCTTTGGCCAGCAGAAAACACAAGGTGAAGGGTATTAGTGGGGAGCTCTGGGTGCTGCACCCCGACAGCTTCGGTGGGTGCCACGAGGGCAGCAGTGCCCATCTGTAGCATCCCTTACTGCATGTCCAGTTGAGCCTGTATCTCTCTATACAAGTTAATCGTGTTTCTCAAATAGTCATGAGAATCAAATATATAGAAAGGAAGAAAACCCCACCACAATTGTGAGACTAAATCACAACAAATGTGCAAAAAAAATAGCCTTAACTCTTGAATTAGGCTCCTTTCCTCTCCTGCTACCTCCTTGTTGGCCCTCCCTGCTGATGTCCCTCTCCCTTCGCATTCAGAAGTTGCTGGGGAGGCTTTTGGGAAATACTCCTATCTTGTGACTTCCGTAAGAGCTAGGGGCTAAAGTTAAGTTGGGTGTAATTAGGCCAAAGACTATTACTATGGCAGCTGCTGGCTGAGAGCCTGAAAAACATCTCCAAGTGCTGCTGAAGCAGGCTGTATGCTAATAGTTGACATTTGCACACCTTGCATTTAGTTCAGCAGGATGCTCTGAAACCCGGGGGCATTAATGACGGGACCGAGTCAACAAGTGTGTGAGTAGCATCAGTCTAGAGCAGCCAGACAAACGGGGAACTCCAAAGCATCTTTCGTTAGAGGTGCAGACCCCAGAGAACAGCAGCAAACGCTGTGCTGCTCTTTGGCATATAAGGAGTGCTCAGTAAAGAGCAGAAGTTGCCACCGTCAGGGACAGGCCTGTCTGGGAAGCAAGGATAAACTTATAAAAACATTTACTTTCATGTAAAATCTAAGTTGTCTTTTTCTGTTGAACTTCTACAGAGCCAGGTTTACATTTCCTATGGAAATGATGGTAAGCTGCTTTTGGTGCCAGAATTAATTTAAAAAGCATCATGGCTCTCTCGTGTTGCCTGAGATTTGGGGTGCCACCAATGTTGGCGGTGGAGCCAGATGGTCATCGCCGGTGTTTTGAGATGTTTCTCCTTCAGCTGAAGGGAAACATTTTTTTTGTTTCCCTTAAATCTCACTGGTGGGAATTTCATTCACAAATTTTTTCCCATGAATCAAAAACCCTATTGCTCGGAAGGCAATTCTTGATAAACACCCAGCTTTTTTCCCACTGCATGATTTTGAGACTTCTCTGAGGGATAACTGGCAGCCCTGTGGAGAGGGAAAGATACTTGCTGGCTCCTCTGACCCACTCCACTTAAACATTGCGTCACCTGAGCTTTACATTCTGCTACTACTTCATTGCCAAAGTAAACCTCAGGGAACAGGTTCTTTACTCCAGCGCATGCATTTGTGTCTCTCCATACTTCTTTCTTAAACATAGTGTTTATCCTGTTTCACCCAACCTGCCACTTTGGTCCATGAGAAGCATCTATAAAGCTAATAAAATCATTCCTTCTGGTCCGCTCTTAATGCATGTGTGTATACCCACACATACAGTTGCTTCTTCTTTGGCATGCACTGGGACATCTTTTTTCATATTTTAAAATCTTTTTTAATGTTGGGGTAGAGGATGTGCATTGGATGGTGCCTGGCAGTCTGTACATTGTATGTGTGTGCCTTGATTTTCTTGTTTGTGGGTTTTACTTTATTGGCTGCTAGGAAGAAAATTAACTCTATCCCAGCTGAAACCAGGACACGTGGATAATTCTTGCTAGATAAAATCAGGTGTTTGGGTATTGTGGCTAGTTCATTTTGCCTTGTGGAAAATTATAGTAGTAATTAATGGCTAGGTTTTAATTCAAGCTTATGCAAATCTTTTCCCAGTGATTGCAATGTATTAGAAACCAAAAAATTACTTACTGAAGGTTTAATCCTGTCAACTAGAACCACCTGATCCCAGTTCAGGAAAAATAGTTCAGCATATGATTAACATTGATTCTTGGAAGTACTTGCTGTTAGCTGTAGTTTCGTAATTAGATGTTGAAGTCAGAAGAGGGGTGTTGAGCCACTGGGGAGGAAACCAGCTTGCCGGCTTTGCACTCTCTCTGGTAAGGGATGCAGACAGAGGATGCTGAGCCCTCTGCTCGTCCTGCCTGGCACCCCGGCAAAGCACTGGGATACTGAACAGGGACTCTCCTTCAGATTTGAGATTTTCCTTGGGATTCTGAGAGTTTCTTTTTGTAGGTAGGTTTCTTTTTTTGGAAAGCATCTGCAGGGACAGTAGGGTGGGAATTGCAGAAGTGACTTGTATCCTGCTCATTTAGAACCAATAGCAAAATTTCCACCTCCATTTGGGCAAAAGGAGCCGGAGTAGGCCTGCTGCTTGCATCTCAACTCTGAGAAGTCCCAGCTGGGACTGGGGTGTCTTCTTTTAGACACCCGACGGCAGATCCTACCGAAATGAGCTTGCAAGACTTAGGCAAAGAGATGTGTTACCAAGGCCCAGGACCTCCATCCGCAGGCAGCCCCGTGCGGGTTTTTGCAGTGCTGGACATGGCATTTTTTTTATCCTCATTTGTTTGCAAAAGTGTAAGTCAAATCCCCATTGCTCCCCCTCCGAAGTTGGTTTAGTACCAGGGAATGATTACAAAAAAAGTGCGTTGCCAAGTGTAATGGTAACTTAGCCAAAGACTGTTGTGGCAACTGCTTAATGAATGCAGTCATTTATTATTCCTCATCCTTCTCGCCGTGTATTTTATCTCCCTGTTGTTGTTATGGGCTTGGCTGCTGCTTTTCTTTTTCCCCTTCTATTACTTGTGGGAGCGAAGGACAGGGAATGGCTTCGTGTCACCAAGCCAGGAGGCTGTTCCTTTGATAGCAGAGGACTATTAGCCTTTCATAAACTAGCCCTGTGCATGTGTACCTGCACAGCGGTTCTGTGAAAGGCATTTGGCCCTTTGCCTAATTTCTCCTCTAATAAAAACTACAGATTTTCTTTTTCACTTCCTCCAGAATAGCCCAACATAAAGTAAATCATCTGTATAGATTTATTGCTATTACTCCTTTGGAGGGGAGAAGGAAGGAAAAAAGACGGAAAATTGTGACCATTTCCAGAGGCATTTAATAATCCATGTGCTGTGCAGATTATGAACAGAAACATCCTCTCTGTTTAAGTCTTAACATTTCCACTGTTAGTGCAAAGTTGTTTTTTACATTAACAAGTGTTTACAACCAAGACTGCAATAAGTTAGTTAAAAACCAGTGTAATAACCGGAGCGTCCCCAGCTTCTGCTTGATGTCGAGCTCTATCTGCTTGGCTCCTGTGTCAAGTTGCCAAAGGTTTCCAATGTCCCTGCTGAAACCCTGGAGATCAGAAGAGCCGAGTTCACTGCTCCGCTGCACCACTGGCATTGCTGTACCTATTCTGGTATGAAGTTGTGCACGTAACTCTTTGGAGAAGGAGGCTGGCTGCCTTTTTCCTCACCAATTTAAACACTCCCATCACTTTCAGTGGTTTCCCACCCCTTAACGAGAATGAACACAGGGAATGTGTTTCTTGTTGCAGATACACAGACATGAATAGGACAAAGCATCTTTCTGAATGCTCCTATTGCTCGCCTTTTGAAAGGGTCACTTGTTTGCTGCTTCACACTGGGCACAGCCAGCAGCAGGAGGTTCGTTAAGTGATGAGAGCAGAGCATAAATGGTCCCTATCCAGTGGAGAACAGACACTCCAATTGCCTGCTCTTTTCTTTTCTTTTTTTTTTCCTGCAGTGTATTATTTCTTGAGCTTCAACAGCTAATGGAAATTCTCTGGAAAGCAGAAACCCCTGAAGCTTTAGGAGACTGCAATTGCTTGGCTGGTGCCAACTTTACTAAATCACATGAGCTCTGGTCTGATAAACAGTAATTTGTTTTCCATAAGGGAGGCTTGTGACAGGTCAAACTATGTCCTTATGATACTACAGCCTTAGAAATAATTATAATAGTGACTCGTAAGGAAAGACTTTTAATTATAATGCTCCTTGACTATGCTACATTGTAAAAAGGCTATACAAGTTGCAAGGCAAATGTGGTGGGCTCCTGTTACAAAAGAAGTTCTTACTCTCTAAAAGCTAAACCAGCAAAAAGACACAAATGATACAATCTTAGACAAAATACTTTTTCCCTATAAAGCACACAGCCATGCCATTAGTGCTAATTTTGATGAATATATTAACGAAAAAAACGTAGCAATATTTCCCTCCTCTTGCTCTTTTGATATTGGTGTTGTGTTGGAGGAAGCGTTGGAGGTTGCTCTTGGAAGAGGGATGTTTATGGAAGAGCCATCTCCCCTTTGTGTGCTATCCTGTTTCAACATTTAGGAAAGCCTACTGGAAGTGTGTGGGTTTTATTGCTTTCGCTACCAAAGCTTCAGAAAGAAAATCAAACCCCCTCATCCTGTTTTACTAGCTCTCATCCAAGGAGCCACTGATACTGCACATCCAATAACCACTCTTCCTCACTGAGGTATGCTGCAGTAAGACTTAACTGGTGCCTGTAGCTGGTCAGAGCAGAAGTTGACCCTAAGGCTGAGGCTGGCTAAATAGCTGCTCTTGCTGTCAGCTAGTGCCCTGATCTTAAATTGAAGCTCCGGAGCAGCTTGAGAGGTGCTGCGAGTAAGTGGGGATCACTGCGCTGGTGAGGGGGGTCTGGTGCCTTCAGGAGGTGTCTGGAGGCCACGATTGCTCTGCCAGAAGTTACCTGAGGAAATCCGTGTTTTCACATGTGTAACGTGAACCCCTCAAAATTCACGTGCAGTCTCAGAGGCAGAAGAAGTGGCAGCACTCTGGGCCAAACCTGCCCTTGCATCGCTGCAAGGACTGCTGGGCTGTGGGAGTGGTGTTTGAGGTCTTGTTTCAGTAAACGTGTAAGCAGTAGGTTGTGCACTTGAGAAACACAGCAGCATGATGGTACAGGATGGTAGCTGTTTCCTCAGGAAACCAGCCTTTATCTGATCACACTTTATATCTGCCAGTTCCCCTTTGGGCCAACCTGAGTCAAGTGCAAGCAAGAGAGACATGTCTTGGAGGTCATGTTCCCCTCAAAACTTAAGAAAATAGGCCTAAAAGACAGGTGCTTCTAATATACTGTCTCAACCCTTAGGAGACATCAGAGAGTTCCTGTGGGAGTTTAATTGAGTGCAGTGGGAATTTAGTGACTCTCCTCCCTGCAGAGCTGCTGTGTTTCGTTTGATCGCTTAACCTAATAGCTTTGAACACCACGAAATCTCGAGTATGAGCTTTTCTTCCTAAACTTGATTTCTTTTTTTTTTTTTAATCTTCCAAGGATGTGGTAACTTTTGCTTTGTTTTCCCAGGTGCTCAGATAAGCTGTTTTGCACCCAGCTCCTTCTCCTGGCGACAAGCTGCTTATGTGGACTCCTACTGCTGGGCAGCTGTGCAGCAGAAGCAACCATCCCAGAACAACTTAGAAAACATTCCCCTGTGGCTGCATAAAGTATGTACAGATCTCCTTCTCCTGGAAAAATTGTCCCCATGTAGAAGCCTGCCTTTGCCTCACTTTTCTTGCTCCTTTTCTCTGCTGTAGTCCTTGGCTTTGACTGAACTTTATTTTTCGAGAGAATGTTTTCTTTCCCTTACTTCCAAAGAGGGTTGTACTAGAGGAGGTATTTTCTGCTTCTAAATAAAGGGTCTGTCCTGCTATAATAACAAATGTCACCAGTTATCTGACACAAGAGTAATGTTAATGCTTTAGCCAGGAACTATTTTAAAATCAGGATACAAGACACAGCAACTGCCCTAATGCTTGTATCAAAAACTTACTTTAGGAAAACAGGATAGTAAAAACATTTTGTATTTTTATTGTATTACACTTGGCCAGTTTTGCATGGAGAGGAACTCATGGCAGATAGGCATTTTGGGAGAGATGAAATCCATCACTGGTACCAACAGGTTTAACCCTGTCTTCAGTGTGCTATTCTGAGCTTCCACAAGCTTGCAAACCTTGCAAACCGTGAGCTGGCTTTCACTGCTCTGGGTAAAGCTTCATCATAGTGAGTGCACAGTAAGAGACTTATTTTATGGGTAAAAAGTGCAGTAGGTACTAAGATACTTGAGCTGGCTCGAAGCAGTTGGCTGAGCTTTGGCAGGAGTTACAAACTCTGGGTAAATGCCATGCCAGTGCCTGGAGCTGGCTCTTCTCAAGAGGCAGCATCACCCTGTTTGGGCAGCGCTGATGCCAAAGAAATGCTGTTGGAGCTCTGCAAACGTGGGGGGTTGTGTGCTGCCTTCCCCAACCCTCTTATTACTTGCTTCAGCAAATAATACCCCTGGCACCTGGGAGCGGAGGAGAACCTGGTGTTAGAGGTTGCTCCGGTCTGGGACCTGCAGAACCTGTATTTCTGGGGTTTGCTGCTGTATCCTGTACCTAAGCTTTTTTTATTGAGTCAGCTGGTGGTATCTCCTCTGAAAGACTCTTCAGGGCTGTCTCTGATTCATTTGCTGACTCAAATCGCTAACTGTGGGGATTTACTACTGCCTTCTCCAGTTAGCTCCACTCATAACCTTGAGCCAACAGTCTTGCGTTTCATGAATATTAAAGCCAGACTTGTTGGTTTCTAGCCTGAACTCTTCCTTGCTCAGTTAGTGCTCCACTTCCCTTCAGCCAGGCTTTCTACAGGGGCCAGTCGAAGCTGCTGGGACATCTCGCAATGCTGGTGGCTTGTGTGGATGCAAACTCCACCTGCAAACCTGGATACGTTGCTGCCCCTGTCTCTTGAGGGAATGAGTTCTTATTACCTGATTTCTTTATGTTGAATTTTATGTCATAGTCACCTGCTGATAGCTGTAAGTCTCCTAGTTTGCCAGCCGTGACTAATAGCTTAAGTAGTCATACGTTTATGATGCAACCCATGTTAATTTGCTGACTGGTGCTGTCTCAGGAATTGATGCAGGGCCCTTCTCCCCACAGTTCCTCCATGATAGCTTAATGGTATGTGATGTTTCCTTGTAAATACCCTGCAGACTGGCTGCAAGAAGTGTGCCTGAACAGCTGAGTCAGAGCTTGTAGCAGAAGCTGGGTGCTTCATCTTAACCTCCTAAATCCATGCTTAGTCACCTGCCTTTCCACTAAGCCAGGCACTGGGAGCTGCAGATGCTCTTTGGAGGCCAGTATTAATTAATATCCTTCTACTCGTTGTTCATCAACTTCCATGCTTAGCAAGTTTCCAGGGAAGGAGCAGTGTTAAAGCTATTAACGCCGACCTTTGGTTCCCCTGTGGTGGGAAGATCTGAAGGTGTTTGGCTGTTGTTTGCATCCAGGGCCAGCAGATGCTGGCTGCACTGCTGGGTGGCTTGCCATGGGGGCCGATGGCTTCTGCAGGAAAACAGGGCTTGGGTTGTCTCCTGGTGCAGGCTGTGCGCTGCAAGGTACGTACAACCTCACTGCTGTGCAGATTTTGGCTAGATAACCATTCTTAAAATGGGCAGAGCAGAGCCTTTGTGGGAGCACAATGATGTTAATGAGACAAGGGAGCCTTCGTAAGCGCAGGTGAGAGAAGATTCGACGCCGCAGTGCAAGGGCAGGGATTCACGGAGAGGGACAGCAGGGATTGTTAGGCCCAATTTTTCCTAAGACAACCCTTGAGGCTTTTTTCCTGCTTTCTGAGCAGCAGTGCGTTTATTTGCAAAGCATCTCACGTTCTTTCTAATACTCTGACTCAGTTAGCATCTCGCTATACTGGCGTGCTACAAGGCTCTGTAAGAAATGCTTAAGGAGGCATTAGGTTACAGTTTGGGGGGATTGAAGTTGTAGGCCCCAATTCTTGATTGAAATGGATGGGTTTCCTTGTGGCGTACTCCCTGTGCTCTTGTCAGAAGTGCTGTCAAAGTTTGTGTCCTAGGACAGTGCTCATCATGGTATAGAGTGGAAGTCGGGCCATGTAGCTCCTGGTGAAGAAGCCAACTTGCACCAACTTGCCCTGCTTTTGTTCTAGGCATCTGGTTGCTCTGAAGGATCATCAAAACCAGGTTGCATTACAGAAAAACTGAAACCTTCCCATTTCCCTCCTACTTCAGAGTACAAGTTTGCGCTGGGATTTTTGGGGTTTTGATCAGTAAAATGTATGTTTCAGTTTTGGACAGTCCCCGAAGCCTGGGCACCTTTACCTGCTGTCCTTTCTGCTCTGGGCAATCTCTCCCAACACTTGAATGTATCAGTTTGGAAACTTGTTTTGGAATGGAGAGGAGGAGCTTACTGGAACTTTCTGGGTTCCCTGCCTCTCTAGTGGTCTGCGCACTCCCAGAGGGTGCCCAGGGCCTCTCTCCTTGGAGAACACGATTTTTGAAATTTCCAGTGATTCTGGAATAACTCTTCACACTGGATAATCCTTAGCAGAAAGCAAAATGAGTTGTGTACTCAAAGGCACAATTCAAGAAACAAACTATCTGCAGATAGATAAATGGAAAGGAGAGACTATGGTACGTCCTGCCTATATTCTTCGTTTAACACGAAGATTTCCTCCTCTTTGTCAGTGAAAAAGCTGACAAAATGATTATATGGTTGAGTCCTCTGACAAGACTCATTTTCAGGTTTGTCATTCATGAAATTAGTCTGGTCAGGCTTCACTCTTCTGTTGTCTCTGTTTTCTTCTGGGGTTTTCCATTCAGGCTTAATTCCCTCATGAGGTTTCTTGTGTATATCTGAAGTGTCAGAACGGAGATACTGGTTTCTGAAGTATTTGCTCCCTCTGTGCAGATAGTTTGCTTTCTGTCTCTAAAGATGAGTTCTCCACCTGACAACTTATTTTGATAAAACTTAGCTTGATCCTTAACTGGAATAGAAACAAGCCAGCAGGAGCAGCTGGACACTGAGTGATGACGTCTCTCTAGCCCTGACATCTGGATTGCTAGGATGGAGGTGCCTATGATCAAGAGACTTCTAGGGATTTTTTTAAATTACTCTATTTTCTAGTCTATTATTGATTGGGGAGAATTAAGGAGGAAGATAAAGGTAAGGAAAGTAGAGGTAAAGGAATTAGATGGTTCTTCAGAAGAAGGGGATTCATACCAGTGTGAAATGCAGGCAAATACTTCATCTGACTGACAGCAGAAAGAAGAACTCTTCACACACGGCGCAGCCAGGAGAGGTCAGTTGTCTGGCTCAGATCTCTGTAAAAGGGCAGGGCAAGCGCTGTGGGACCTGCTCAAAGCATTGCATACAAAGAATGGGTCCAAAGTCTTTGTATGCCTGAAGTGAAACTTATCTTGTTGAAAATATTCACTTTTTGCGATAGAAGTAAGATTTACCACGGACCTGTGGGTTGTTCTTTGAATTGCTTGTCTGTAAATACACCAAAAACCCCCTGAGGTTCTTCATTATGTTGTTGGTATGATTATAATCACGATTGTTATCTGGTTCTCCTTACTCACTGTTTGTACAACTTCTTAGTTAACTGAGGACTTCTCATGTTTCACCTATAAAACCCCACCCAGAGGGATTAAGGGCTGTCAGAGCAAGGAAACCTAAACACAGACGCTTTTATAAGCCATTCTTTGAGAGTGTAGTGTTAGAGCTACTTCAGTCACATTAGTCTTACTGACTGAAACTGGAGAAATACAGCTTTTAAGCTGTATCAAAACAGAAAGTAAGTAACAGGTGGGGTAAAAAAGGTCATGTATGGTTTGAGGTTCACTTTCAGGTCTGGAGGCAGGATAGTATCTCAACCAATCATTTATAGCTCACTTTTCTGCCCTGAACACCAGTGAAACATCTCCCGTTGACTCAAACAGGAATAGGGTTGTATCCAGAGGGAGCTTAATATCTTTGCTTCTGGAAACATGTCACTGCTGTCATTAGCCTGTTTGGGGGCTGGTGCCTTTGCTTAGGCTCTTCCTGGTGCCAAACAGAAATTTGGAACTGAAGAAGCAGACACTTCACCATGATCTTGTATTTTAATGAGAAATATTTTCATCTCAAGTGAGTGAAGACACTTCAGTGCTTCCTTCTTTGTTGAGTACTATATGCCAATGAATTTTCTTAAGGCTGTAATTCAGACCTGTGCAGCTTAACAGCTTTGTGCTGTTGTACTTAAAGTTACTGTCTGACCACTATTAGGTATGGTGGAAGTCAGAATGTTTGCAGTCACTTCAACAGCATTTGCCCAGAGGAAATAAAAACTGAAGATGCAGTAAAATTAGAAAACTGTTGTTTTCTAAATGCCACTAAAATGATTCTCATCTTCTGCCAGCTATCTTTATCCAGACCTTGGCAAGCTTTCTGTAGATTAGGTCCTTGAAAATGCCTTTTGGGTCACACCACCCTTGGCAGCTATGTTTTCTTTGGATGATAAAAGCATATTTGAGTTTATGAAGAAGTTTTTTAAATGCCCTTTTAACTTATTTGCTCTGTATTTACTGTATCTTAGCACAGTTGAAGCTGGGGATGTAATATAATAGACTATTTTGTGGTTTAGTCTGGTTTTTCCTTTCACTTTCAGG